TCAGTAATTGACAGATTAAGCAGGCAAAATATAGTTGGCAAAATATAGATATAAGCAGGCAAAAAAAGATATAGTTGACCTGAACAGCACTATTAATCAACTTGATCCAAATGGCATTTAGAGAACATTACATCTAATATCAGAACATTTTTTATCAAGTTCATATAGAACATTCACTGCGAGTCCATATTCTAGGCCATTAAATACACTTTACCAAATTTAAAAGAACAGAAATCATAAAAAGTATGCTCTCAGTGGAATTAAAGTAGAAATCAACAATGGAAAGATGGACAAACACATGTATTTGGAAATTAACACAATTCTAAACACATGAGTCAGGGAAAAATATAAGAGAAATGCAAAAATATTTTGAACTAAATGAAAATAAAATTAACCTATCAAAATTTGGGGGATATAGAAAAAGCAGTGCTTAGAAGGAAATTTCTAGTTTAAATGAGTATGTGAGAAAAGATCTAACATCTATAACCTAAGTTTTCTCCTGAGGAAACTAAAGGAAGTAATTTTAAACCTAGTGTAAGCAGAAGAGAAGAAATCAATACAAGTAAAACAGAAAAAAAAATAGAAAAAAAAAATCAACAAAACCAAAATATGATTCTTTGAAAAGGTAAAAAAAAATTGGTACATCTCTTGCCAGGATAATCAAGAAAAAAGAAAGAAGATCCAAATTAACAAAATCAGAAATGAAAGTGAGGTTATCAGTAAGTGATTCCATGGACATTAAGAAGATAATGAAGGAATTCTATTAACAACTCTGTGCCTACAAATTTGATAACTTAGATACAATGAACCAATCCCCTTCAATGATACAAACTACTAAAACTCATACAAGGAGAAAACAATAACCTAAACAGCCTTGTATCAAAGAATTTGAATGAATAATCCATAACCTTCCAGACAGAAATCACCAAGACCAAATTCTACCAAACATTTAAGCAGCACCAGTGAACTTTTAGAAATCACCAGGGAATTCTACCACACATCTGAGTAAGAAATAATACCAATTCTCCACAATATTTTCCATAAAACAGAAGTAGAGAGAATATTAGATTTATTCTCTGAGGCCAATATTACCCTAATTCCAAAACCAGACAGAAGGCATTACAAGAAAAGAAAACTACAGACCAGTCTCTCTCATGAACACAGACACAAAATCCTCAACAAAGTATCAAAAAATCAAATCCAACAATGTATAAAAATCATGCACCTAACAAGGGAATGAATTTACTGTACACTCAAAGCTGATTCAACATCTGAAAATCAATCAGTATAATCCACCACATAAACAGCCTAAATAAAATATATTATATGATCTTATCACTTGATACAGAAAAAGTACATGACAGAATCCAACGCCCATCTATGATAAAGGTTCTTAAAATAGAATTAGAGGGGAACACCTCAATTTGATAAGGAATATCTACAAGAAACCTCTAACAACATACTTAAGGGTAAGGAACAGGAACAAGGCAATATCAGGAACAAGGCAAGGTATTCTTTTCTCATTGGTCTTAGTAAACATCATCCTGGAAGTCCTAGCTAGTGCAGTAACACAAAAAAAGAAATAAAACATATACAGATTAGAATGGAAGAAATAATACTGTCTCTTTACAGATGACATGATTTTCTATGTAGAAATGCCACAGCATTGACAAACTCCTGGCTACAAGATCTGTAAAGGTGTAAAGCTAATATACAAAAGTCAGTTGCTTTCTTATATACCAGCAATGAACTGGAATTAGAAATTTAAAAATACCATAAATAATAGTACTCCCCAAATGCAGAATGTGCCTAAAGAATCTAAGTTTATTACAAATATATGAAACAACCACACTGAAAAGGAAGGAGGAATAAGGTGTTGACATAAGGTAACTTTGGAAGTGAGTGGAGTCTATAAAACTAAAGGCAAATATTTCCTATAAATAAATATATAAAAGTAATTAAAGATAAAAACATACATAAACATGCAGATACACACAGGTTATTATACATCAATAGATCTCCTTGCTCTATTAACTGCAAGGGCCTAGAAGCAATGATACCCCAATAGTAATGAGTACTCTTAGCACCCAGATCTTGGTTTTGATACCATTCTCTAACCAAAGGTACCAGGGCCCCTTGGATAAATGGCAAATTCTAGGACTTGGACAGGAAATATACAAGACTTCCTCATCTTGTAGTGCCAGAAAGTGTTAAACACATACATACACGTGCACACATGTGCACACAGGGATGGAAAGAGGTATGTTAAATAAATACAAGTGCCAAGTGAAAGAGCTCTCAATGGCCGAAGTTGGAACTAGAGCAATAAAAATATGTGAAGTAGTATTAGATTATAATCCAAAGTATATGATAAATATTGACTGCTGGATTTTAAGGTAGTTATATTTTAACTCTTTGAGGAACAATGGAGTATTATTCAGCCACAAAAAGGAATGAAATCTTGCCATTTGCACCGACAGTATTAAGTCAGTCAGTCAGAGAGAGACAAATACCATATGCTTTCAGTCATAATTAGAACTTGAGAAACCAAACAAAGGGAAAAAATAAGAGAGACATAGCAAGAAACAGACTCAATTATGGAGAACAATATGATGGTTACCAGAGGGGAAGGTGGTGTGGGGATGGGTTAAATAGGTGATGGGGATCAAGGAGTGCATTTGTCATGATGAGCACTGGGTGATGTATGGAACTGTTGAATTACTATGCTGTACACCTGAACTAATATAACACTGTATGGTAACTAACTGGAATTAAAATTAAAACTTAAAAAAAGGATCCATACCGATACCCTCAAGTAAGTGGAACCTAACATCCTATTCAGTCTTTCCTAAGACTGTACATAGTGACTTTCTTCCAAAGAGGACAGTATGGAAAGGGAGAAATAAGAGTAACTTTACCATAGAGAATCCTGACAAACCCTACCTCAGCCTAGGTCACAAAAGTTTACAACAGTGGTAATATTGATAGTATGTACCCTTTTCTGAAAAAGTAAACTAGACAGGGTGTCTGGCTGGGTCACTCGTTAAGAAACTGCCTTCGGCTCAGGTCATGATCCCAGGGTCCTGGGATCCAGCCCCACATCAGGCTCCCTGTGTGGAGGAGAGCCTGCTTTTTCCTCTCCCACTCCCCCTGCTTGTGTTCTCTCTCTCACTGTCTTTTTGTCAAAAAAATAAAATAAAATCTGGGGTGCCTGGGTGGCTCAGTTGTTAAGCAACTGCCTTCGGCTCAAGTCACAATCCCAGGATGCTGGCATGGAGCCCGCATCAGGCTCCCTGCTCAGTGGGAAGCCTGCTTCTCCCTCTCCAGCTCACCCCCCCTGTGTTCCCTCTCTGTCAAATAAATAAAATCTTAAAAAAAAAAGAAGTAAACTAGACACCCAACATGGGGCTTGAACTCACGACCCCAAGATCAAGAATGGCATGTTCTATGGACTGAACCAGTCAGGCACCCTGGTAACATGTACCCCTTATATAAATGTGGTGACATAGCACTTACCTCTCTGGTCCTCTTCCCGAAAGCACTTAATGCCTGTGTAACGAGGAAAAAATCAAGCAAACTGAAATTGTGGGACATTATACAAAATACCTGACCAGTACTTCTCAAAAGTGTCAAGGGCATCAAAAACAGGGAAAGTGAGAACCTGTCACAGCCAGAAAGAGCCTATGGAGACAAGATGACTAAATATAAAGGTGGTAACCTGGATAGGATCCTGGAACAGGAAAAGGGCATTAGGGAAAAACTGAGGGAATTTAATAGGTACTTTGGTAAATAATAATGTATTATTTGGTCAATATTGGTTCACTGTGACAAATGCATCATACTAATGTAAGATGTTAATAGAGAATATTGTGTATGGGGTATACAGAAACTCTGTACTATCTTTGCAATAATTCTGTAAGTCATTAACTTCTAAAATAAAAGTTCATTCAAAAAACACTAAAAGCAAATTAAAGGCTAATGAAGAGCTGGGACGGGGTGGGGCGCAGGGGCAAGGGGGAATCACATAGGTAGATGGATCTGTTGAAATGGTAAGGCAGGGCTTAACAGCAACTTCCTGAGAGACAATTCCTCCTAAGAAAAAAGTGTCAGCAGACATGAGATTAACAGGTGAGAATAGTACAACATCTGGTCACTCAGATTTTTCTGGCTCAACCTCCAGTATCTAAATCCAGTGGAGATGGCACTGTATGCAAAAACAGAGTGACAAAAATTCTGGAAAGGAGTGTTTTTTAAAAACTTTATAAAATATCAACACCCAATGACAATTGGGTAATACCCACCTGAATTAGGGTAACTCTGCTGTAGGTAGAGAATTCCCCACCTTTTTGTTGAGACAGTGTTGCTTTAGTCCATCATGGTCTCCAGACCACCAGTAGCTGTGGGAGCTTCAGGCAATTACAGAGCCCCTGAGAAGGGGCACAGTGCCCAAGAGACATGGCATTACCCAGGGGACAGTGGCACCCACATTTTATCTGACTTCTGAGACCTCTTATACCTCCCCTAAACATCTGAAAGAATTCTGGTTCTGCTACTGCAAGGCAAAGGGTAGGAGCCAGCCCAACACAGGTCACACTCATTACCTCATCTATCTTCTCCATGACCCTGGAAGGCAAGTTTTACCCCATTCAACAGATGACAAGGCTGTTTGTTACAGCAATGGATCTGTAATATCGGCCAGGTTGTCTTCCAGCTTCCAGTCTCAAACATGAGTTTTAAGAAATATTTTATATCCTGACCAAGAATTTTTGGTGTCTCCACTACATTCATGAGCTAACTAAATAGTTTTTTGGATTGCTTGGCATATATTGTTTTCATGATGAAAGTAATCAGTGTTTTTTTAGGAGAAAACATACAATGAACAAAAAAGAACAAAAAAATCACCTTCAGATAACCAGGACATAGCTTTCAGAGTTTTCTCTGTACATAGATCACTAGGTAAATGCCTTTGTAGTTTTACAAAAATGGACTGATGCCATATATATGGTTCAACAAACTTTTTTCTTTTTAATTTTACAATATGCCATAAACATTTTTCCATGCAATGGACAAAAATCTGCTACTGAAACATTGAAGGCTGCAGTTAGGTACAAGAGTGATAGCTAAAGCAAGTATTAGTATAAGGTCAAAGCACAAGGCCTAGGCAAATGCCTGCCAGGGGCACTACACAAAAGGAATGTCTTCAAAGCCCCTCTGTGGGGCCCTGCATCCACCCCTGAGTTCCCTTGGGCCCCTCGGGTGGAAGGGGTCCTGTAAACTTTTTTGCATCCACATAAACCCCCCCAATTTCTGTCTGGTTTTCTTCACCTCATCCTCTACCCGGGCCATCTCATCAAATTCTCTTATCATCTCCTCATTGCTCAAATGCATATCGTGTATGGCCTCCTTATATTCCTTGAGACACTGAGCCAGCCCCTTGTTGGTTTTTCTTTTAGCCTTCCTGGGTACATCATCCCCAGCTGGGCGCTTTCCTGCAACCCTTGGTTCGATGGCTGGCTTTTCTTCTTTTGGCTTCTCCTCATTCACTGGCTTTCCCTCATTCACTGGTTTTCCTTCTTCTTTGGGCTTTCCCTCACTCACTAATTTTCCTTCTTTTGGTTTTCCCTCATTCACTGGTTTTCCTTCTTCTTTTGGCTTTCCCTCACCCACTGGTTTTCCTCCTTCTTCTGGCTTTCCCTCGTTCACTGGCTTTGCCTCGATTACTGGCTTTCCCTCGCTTTCCGGCTTTCTCTTGCTCACCGGCATTGCCTCGCTCTCCGGCTTTCTCTCCCTCTCTGGCATTGCCTCGCTCACAGGCACTGCCTCCATCACGGGCACTGCCTCGCTCTCCGGCTTTCTCTCCCTCTCCAGCATTGCCTCGCTCACTGGCATTGTCTCCATCACCTGCACTGCCTCGCTCTCCTCCGGCACTGCCTCGCTCTCCTCCGGCACTGCCTCGCTCCCTGGCTTTCCCTCCCTCTCCGGCTTCCCCTCGCTCACCGGCATTGCCTCCCTCTCCGGCTTTCCCTCGCTCACCGCCATTGCCTCCGTCACCGGCTCTAACTCGCTCTCCGGCTTCCCCTCGCTCACCCGCATTGCCTCCCTCTCCGGCTTTCCCTCGCTCACCGGCATTACCTCCATCACTGGCAATGCCTCCCTCTCCAGCTTGCCCTCGCTCACCGGCACTGCCTCGCTCTCCGGCTTTCCCTCGCTCACCGGCACTGCCTCCATCACCGCCTCTGCCTCGCTCTCCGGCTCTGCCTCGCTCTCAGGCTCTCCCTCGCTCTCAGGCTCTTCCTCGCTCTCCCGCTCTCCCTCGCTCTCCGGGTTTCCATCTTTTGGCTTTGTCATACTCTCTGGCTTTTCTTTATCCTTTAGTATTTCCTCATCTTCTGTCATTGTCTCTTTTTCTAACTTTTCCTTGTTTTCCATAGTACAGGCTACTTCTGGCTTTCCCGCATCCTGTGACTGTTCTTTGTATTCCATCTTTTCTTCGTTCTCAGTCATTCCATCATTTTCACTGCAGAGTTTTTCCATGTTGAGATTTCCCCCTCCTTCTCCTGTCCTGGGGTGGGGAGAAGAGGAAACAAAGGGGAGACAAGGGAAACTGAGAGCTTGGGGTGGAATGCAGGTCCGAATAGTACAGGCATCTCTCCCCTTGTCAGGGTTCCCCTAACCTGGGCCGGCTTTTAAGTGTGCTTTCTGCCCACCCTCTCCCCTCACACATGTGAGCCAACCATTTCTCCCGCAAGCCCTGCCATTTTCTCTACGTTTGCTCAGCACGACAGAGTGTGTATAAATGCATTTGGAGCAGGGAACTGACGCCCCATATTCTGCTGGTACTGTACCCCCCAGCACTCCCCACCCCTTTGCGTCCCTGCCCAGAGACGCCCCTCCTTCACTGACCTGCAGGGATTCTGAACAGATTCCTCCTCCTTTTCTAGCCTTGCAGAGTGCTGAGAACAGACACGCAGACCTGCAGACAGACAGGAGACAGGCGCTGCGCGTTTGGGTGGATGCACAGGGACCAAGCCCCTTTCTCGAATCCCGGCCCTCCTCATCCAACGTTTCCCTCCCCCACCTCCTCCGCCCCCCCGCACCCTAGCCGCCATTTCTTTTCACGCCTCGGGCGCCAGACCAGGATGTTTTCCAAACTAATTTTGGATCTCTGCGTCCGTCTCCCCAGAGGCAAGTCGCCTCCCCACCCTTGAGGTCAACTTTTTTTCTCTACGCATAGAGTGGTAGAGAGGGTTTATTTCTACTGTCTCGCTGGCGGGGCGCCCCCCAGCTCACCAGCTCCGGCTCCAAAATGGACGGAGGGCATCGAGAAGGAGGTGCGGGAGAAAAGGGTACACGGGTACTAGGGGTGTCTGCTCTGCCCAGCCTCCGCCGATTGGTCGCTAGCTCCCCCTTAGCCATATTCCCACCCCCATCTCTAGCTACACTCCGGCCAGCTTCCCTCAACCCGGACCCCATCCCCACCCTTTTTCCTCTCGGTGTTCGTGCCTCACCCCCCCATTCCAGGGTTCCACAGGAGGCGACGAAGGCCCTCACACTGACCTCAAAGAACCTGGAGCAACAATTAGGAGCTTGCAGACCGCTCCGGATCCGACCGCAGGGGAAGAGGGCGGGCTCCCAGACTGGTGCCCACATCTGCGCCCCGACGATCACGTGAGCGTCGCGTCACCCGGGCTCGCCCCCCTCCCCCTCTCTCCCAGCCGCCCCGCCCACCAGCCGGCGTCTGCCAGTCAGTCACCCCACCGCTCTCTGGAGCGCTTCCCCTCTGACCTCTCTGGGCCCTTTTGTCCTTTTTCTCTTCTTGAGGTAGTCGAAGAAATAATTTTAATAAAAACCACAGAAGCTTTTTTTCATGGTTTGGGCGGTCGGGGGAGGAGTCTTGACCAGTTGCTCTTAATTTCCATTGAAAGGACTAGAGCCAGCCAATGAAATCGTATGAATGTGAACTTTCATGTGGTACGTAGAATATTGCCCTTTATTTTTTTATTTTAAAATTTTAAAGTTGTATTTATTTATTTTAGGGTGGAGGGGCAGAGAAAGGGAGAGAGAGAATATCCAGCAGACTCCCCGTTGAGCTCTGAGCCCATGCAGGGCTTCATCCCACCACTCTGAAATCAGGACCTGAGCAAAAATCAAGAGTCTGAGGCTTAACGCACTGAGCCACCCAGGCGCCCCAGAATATTGCACTTTAGAAAAAATTAGGAAAAATGGTCCTCTCAAGATAAATTTGTTCCTTTTTTCTGACATGTGCAAACATTAATTTTCTAATTATTTAAATCTTAAAATCATATTTGAAGCAGAATAAAGGAACGATTAGTTTTTTTTTATAAGCGAGCTACTAAATATACAACGGACAATGACCTGACCATACATGACAATAGAACTGGGGACCCACAACCTCTGCAGCAAGCAGCCCAGGAAGCCAAACCCTAGCCTCTGAAGCAATCTTCAGGACTTGATCATTGACGTCCAGCCTCCCTATTTTTGCCCCCCTCCCAAGAGAAATCGAAATATACTCCCCAAACCAATCATATAAGGTGTGCCGCTTTTAGTTAGCCTGCTTCCAGCTTCCCCATGCCAACAGCCTCCAATCAGAGAATACTTAAAATCTTCTCTTTTGTTGGGCTAAAGCTTTTCCACTCCCCAGAGACATTCAGTCTCTGCCAAACACAAGTAATGGTGGCTGAGTCCCTTGTTATAACAAGTTCTGAATTAATAGTCTATGTTTAAGGTTTTTGTGTGGGAGGCCTTTAAAAATATAACAGACATGAACAACTAAGGAAAACGTTGATAGATTTGACTTCCTGAAAATGTGTACCAATTTCTTTCTTTAAAACAATAGTATCATTTTCACTATTTTAAAAAGGATTTTATTTATTTATTTGACAGTAAGAGAGACAGCGAGAGAGGGAACACAAGCAGGGGGAGTGGGAGAGGGAGAAGCAGTCTTCCCACTGAGCAGGGACCCCAATGCAGGGCTCAATCCTAGGACCCTGGGATCATGACCTGAGGAGAAGGTAAGACACTTAATGGCTGAGCCACCCAGGCACCCTGTGTACCAATTTCTTAAGGGATTGAGGACACATGCACTCTTCCCTGCTCTAGTTGAGTGGAAAGGTAAAAAATATTCTGAAAAGTAAGCTGGTAAATTGTTTTAAAATAAAAATATTTGGGGTGCCCGGGGGGCTCAGTGGGTTAAGCCTCTGCCTTCAGCTCAGGTCATGATCTGGGGGTCCTGGGATTGAGCCCTGTGTAGAGCCAGCATCCAGCAGGCATGGAGACCTGCATCAGGCTCCCTGTTGGGCGGGGAGCCTGCTTACCCCCTCTCTCTGCCTGCCTCTCTGCCTACCTGTGATCTCTCTCTGTCAAATAAATAAATAAAAACCTAAAAAAAATTTGATATTTTGGTTCAGTAATTTCACTTCTAGTAATTACCCATGGAGAGAATTAATAATGTGCTAAACTATAATCTTATTTTTAAAAAAATGCTTTATATTTTAAAAATTCCTATAATAATTGTTTATTATGCATTTATTCTTTGTTGGAACTGGGGCTACAGTATTCATTATGTAGGCTTTGTTTATAATGGAAAAAATGGAATATCACAATTGTCCATCACACAGATTTAGTTGCATAATCTTCTTTTTTTTTTTTTAAGATTTTACTTATCTATTTGACAGAGATCACAAGTAGTCAGAGAGGCAGGCAGAGAGAGAGGAGGAAGCAGGCTCCCGGAGGAACAGAGAGCCTGATGCAGGGCTTGATTTCAGGATCCTGGGATCATGACCTGAGCCTAAGATAGAGGCTTTAACCCACTGAGCCACCCAGGTGCCCCTGCATAATCTTCTTAATACATTTGTTTACCCTGGTTATCCTTGGATGTTTGGTTAAGAAAAATAATGAAAATGTTGGGTTTTCAATACGCAGTAGAAATTATTAACTATTTATGATCCCCAATTACTATGGGTAGTGGGACACAAGAGATAGTCACAGGATGTGGTATTGCCCTCTAGAGAATGCCACCTATGTGCCAGGAACTGTGTTAGCTACTTTATCTTACCTGGTACGGAATTCATTTACTTATTTATTATTCTTTTTTTCCTAAGATTTTATTTATTTAGTTGACAGAGAACACAAGTAGGCAGAGTGGCAAGCAGAGGGAGAGGGAGAAACCGGCTCCCCACTGAGCAGAGAGCCTGATATGGGGCTCGATTCCAGACCCTGGGATCATAACCTGAGCTGAAGGCAGACGCTTAACCGACTGAGCCACAGGCATCCCCAGAATTCATTTATACCTGATAAAGGAACTCACACTTCAGGGAAGCAGAATAATTTATAAAGCTATATGCTTAACTCAGCATGGAATTGGAATAAGCATAGCAGGAGGAATAAAACACAGAGATCTCACAACATACCCAAGTATAAAGGTTTTTAGTATGTGATAAGAATCCATCTCTGGTCAGTAGAGAAAAATAGGTTATTATGGAAATTACTTTGTATAATTAAATAGTTAAAGAAAAAGGAAGATCCTTATTTTCTGACCTACAATCAAGTTCTTATAGGCAAGTACAATGAAATAAAAGGCATCCAGATTACAAAGAAAGAAAAAGTTCCTTTATGTGCAGATGGCTTGACCTTGTATATAGAAAATCCCAAGAAATCCACTAAAGAACTATGAGAATTAATAAATGAGTTCAGAGCAATACATAAAAATCAATTGTATTTCTATGTTAGGAGTGAACAATTTGAAATTGAAAGTAAAACATTTCCATTTAAAATGCATCAAAAAGAATAAAATACTTGGAAATAAATTTATTAAAAAGTCCAAGACTTATACACTGAAAGCTATAAAATTATGTTCAAAGAAATTAAAGAATACTTAAATAAAGGGAAAGATATCTTATATTCATAGATTGGAAGACCTAATATTGTTAAGATGGGTAACATTTCTCAAATTGATCTACAGATTCAACACAATCTCTGTCAAAATCTCAGCTGCTTTGTTTGCAGAAATTTACAAGCTGATCCCAAAATTCACATGGAAATGCAACAAACACGGAATAGACAAAACAATCTTGAAAAAGAAGGGCAAAGTTGGAGGCCTCACACTTCCAGATTTCAAAACTTACTATAAAATTATAGGAATCAAGACAGTGTGGTACTGGCATAAGGGCTTATAACCAATGAAATAGAATTTAGAATCCAGACATGAACCTTCAGATTTATAGTCATGGATTGTCAACCAGAGTCCAAAGAAAATTGCATGGTGAAAGAATGCTCTTTTCAATAAATGCTGCTGAGACAACATGCAGAAATGAATTTGGACCTCCACCTCATACCACATAGAAAACTTAACTCAAAAATAAATCAAAGTTCTGGGGGTACCTGGCTGTCTCAGTCAATAGAGCATGCAACTCTCGATCTCAGGGTCCTGAGTTCAAGCCCCACTTCGAGCATACAGCTTACTTTAAAAAGTTAAATTAAGGGCGCCTGGGTGGCTCAGTGGGTTAAGCCGCTGCCTTCGGCTCAGGTCATGATCTCAGAGTCCTGGGATCGAGCCCCACATCGGGCTCTCTGCTCAGCAGGGAGCCTGCTTCCTCCTCTCTCTCTGCCTGCCTCTCTGCCTGCTTGTGATCTCTCTGTCAAATAAATAAATAAAAAAAATCTTAAAAAAAAAAAAAGTTAAATTAAATTAAATTAAATCAAAGTCCTACATGTAAAAGCTGAAACTATTAATCTCTTAGAAGAAAATAGAGAGGTAATTCTTCATGACCTTGGATTAGGCAATTGTCTCTTAGATATGACACTAAAATCTCAGACAACAGAAGAAATATAGATAAATGGGATTCTATCAAAATGTAAAAATTCTTTAATTCAAAAGAGAACATCAAGAAAGTGAAAAGACAACCCACAGAATGGAAGACAATTTTTGAAAGTAATATATCTGATAAGGGACTTATATTCAGACTATATAAGGAACTGTTGCAACTTGATAAGGAAATAGACAACCCAATTTTACTTTAGGGATTTTGAGGCTTTTAAAAATTGAAATATATTTGACCTATAACATCACTTAAATTTAAGGTGTATAACACATTGATTTAATAAAGTATATATTATACTGTGGTTGCCACTGTGTTGATAATTAGCACCTCTATCATGTAACATAATTATCATTTCTTATTAGTGGTTGGAATAATTGCAATCTGGCCTCTTAGTAAGTTTAATGATTATAATCTAACATTGTTGTCTATATTCACTATACTGTGCATTAGATCTCTAGGACTTAATTACTATTCATTGTAAGTTTGTAGCCTTAGACAACATCTGTCTTATCTCCTTACCTCTTAGGCCCTAGTAAGCACCACTTTACTCTCTATTTTTACAAGTTTGGCTGTTTTAGATTCCACATATAAGTGATATTGTACAGTATTTGTCTTTCTCTGACTTGTCTCACTTGGCATAATGTCCTCAAGATATATCCATGTTGTCACAAATGGCAGACTGTCCTTTTTCAGGGCTGAATAATATTCCATTGTATAAATATACCACAGCTTCCTTTTTTTTTAACCACATCTTCTTTATCCCATTCATTTTCTGCACAGAAAAAGAAACAACCAACAAAAAGAAAAAAAACAGCCTAG